AAATCAAATCAGCTGCTCTACTGATACTACCTGTTCAATGTACCTTGAATGGTACCCAATAACAAACGAAGCATCAACTTTGTTTCTGATGCGCAGATTGCGCTAGCGATGCTTTTTATTAATTTTCGGATGCGTTTTGGAAAAGTGTACATCGTCAATATTTTGTAGTTCGGCGTTATTGAACGTTAGGGAAATGTTTAGCTATTTGTACAACGATTTAGGGGTGGGGGCGGAGAGGGAGGGGGTGTGGGCCCCACGAATCCCCCCCTAAACGAAAGAGGACTGACGCCGCTTTATGAAAAGTCACCCCTCACCCCCAACCCCTCTCACAGACCTCAGGGGAGCTATTTGAAAATAGGGGAATTTTAGATTTTTTGCAAGGAAAAAACAAAGTTAAACTAGCGTCCGAAGAAGGGGGCCTGAACACCTTTTGCAGAGACTACCTTTCTGCGTAGGCGGCCTTCCGCCGCGCTTAGGGATTATAACCCTTACTACCAGTGGCGGATTTATCGTACAGGCAACATAGGCTGAAGCCTAGGGCGGCAGAATTAAGGGGCGGCAGAATTAAGGGGCGGCAAAATTTAAGATAGCTAAATTAAAAGAAAAAAATTTATTTGGATTCAGCTGCACTTGAAATTGTGTTTGTGTCTGTAAAATATTATTAACGATTCATCTCATTCAATACAATTCAAAATTAGAATTACGCTGCGAATTTTTCCTTAGTATAGCAGTCGTTGAAATTTCCATTTAACTTTCATTCACGCGGCTTAGAAACCTGACGGCGCGCCTGCGCGTGACGCAAAGAAACAGCCGACACGCTGCCCCGAGAACGAGAATCATCTAAAAGGTTACCACACTTGACAACACTGCCGAAAAACGAGCATGCATTTTCGAGAAAATTCTTGATTCCAAGCCCACCAGTTTTTCATAAGTGTATCATAACGTGAATAATCTGAAGGTCAGCTTCCGTCGTATGTCAAATTAGGCAGTGTATCTGTGTATGGTCTTCTGTTTGTCTTGCGCGAGGTCAAAAAATCTTCCGGATGAGCGATTTTATTATTTTTTTTTTTCGTGAAAAAAAAGGGCGGCAAGTTATGAATTGCCTAGGGGCGGCAAATATTTAAATCCGCCACTGCTTAGTACGTAGAATTCTCCTTTCTGTGTGGCATAACTGGGGCTACCGCCCCAGTGATGTAGCCTTGGGAAAGGATGAGGTAACTAGAATTCCCTTTCTGTGTGGTAATCCTGGGCTGCCGCCCCAATGATGTCTATTTTGGTTACTGGGTGTTTTATAAAAATATCTTGTATATAAAAATGTATATACAAATTTATAACAAAAATACCATATTTCCAACCGACATTATTGTTAAATTAGTGCACAGATTTAGTAAATTAAATTTTTGTAATAAAGCGTGAACTGTTGTCTACAAGTGCGTATAAAAGTTGTTTGATTCGATTCACGCGTTTGGGCACAGCAACCCCAAATCGTTGTACAAAACCATAAACATAAACAGCAATTGACGTTTTGGAAGTCAGCCGACGTCCACAGATGATAAAATAACCGAGTAGCAATTAGCAGTTTACCAAGTACCAACTAGCAGGTGTGAACCACCCTTATAAAAAGACAACACAATCGTACATTATTACTGAAAGCGACAACCCTATCGGTTCACTTTTTGGCATTTCTGGTTGGAAGTCAAAAGTCAAATTTGGAGAAACTCGGTAAAGAACAAATCCATAATAATCTAAAAAAATATTTCGAGTGCTGGACTATTGCAAGCTCAAGGAAAATTATATTAAAATACAATTACCAGAACTGTAGCTTGAAATACTACGGGCGAAGCACAGAAAAAATCCGCATCATTGAAACCAACAACAACAGTGTGCCAGCGCCCTGTCTCCGACCTCGTACGATATCTTTAATTACAGTAGTAACCAGCTAGTGGACCTACAATAGAAGCGTTAAAGAGGATTGGTAGTAATAACAAATATCGAAAAATCAAGTTAACCGCAACATTTAATATTTAAGAACAAAATACGGAAGTGAAGTGCACGGAGCAGCAACAAAAACGTTATGATTAAGTTGTTTTCACTAAAACAACAAAAAAAGGATGGCGAACAGTTGGCCCGAACCGGGCAACAGAAGAAAGCATCAGCTGCGCAACTACGTATACAAAAAGGTAAACTTTAATACAGGAAATGGCTGTGCACAGATATTTATACATTAATGTTGAAATGCGTGAACGTCCCGATGTACATATAAAGTGCATAAATACAAATTTCTAATAGAATCCAAATTTCGATTTACATTTCGTCACGTGAAATACAAAAAGCCGTAACTACCAAAAATTGGTTTTTGCCTAAAATGATGAGGGAAATTGTTATTCGATGAAATGCACCATAATAAATCAAACAAATTTTGGATTTTTTGTTAGTTACGGACTTATGCATTTCAGGTGACGATATATAGCTTTCGCAATATCACAAGGTACATTATGTTGGATAGTAAAAAGAAAATGTACCTACATATGAAAATAATGTTCTTGCTTTTGGATATGATTTTTATATGGGTCGTTGTTTAAGAGAGGGTGCATTTCAAAACGTTAAAATACAAAGCATCAGTCTTCTTTTATTTATAAACTGCACTAGCAGAAAAAGTCTAACTTGGGCAATATAGTAGAAAATTAATGCATACATAGTTGCATACATTTGATACAGAAGAAAATGAAATTATTGTATCAGCTTATTAATATTTAATTAAATTTTTCGCAAACAATTTGAAAAAACTTACTTGACTTCTCTAGCGCCATTATTTTCATGCAATATTCTATGAATTCCATACTAGAGGCGAAAGGAAAAGAATGTGTTCAGATTAGTTGCGTTCGACAAGTCAAAAATTTGTAATAGTTTTTCCAAATTTTTACTGGATGGCGTTCGATAACGACAAAAAATATCCAACACACAAAAATTGAGAGATCAAGCGTTCATTTTGATGCAAGAGAAGCGTTCATTTTGTACTGGCAAAGTTTTAGGTCGGTTAGGTTAAGTTTAGGTCGGCAGACAAACTTTTGTTTGCCAAATTAAATGGCGGCTGCTTAGTTTGCTCGGAGGTGGTTATGTCGAGTTTGGCACAGGGTTGCACGTTCATTATGGTTTTCATGGCTATTGTCAACACGAAATGAGAATTTCAGATGTACATAACGCGCACAATTTAAAATTTTTGTATATGACAACACCGAATTTGCTGCATGTTTGACCAAACAAAATTAGTTTGCTGTGAGAGTCGCCAAACTCGCTCTTGTTGTTGATGTTGTAGCGGCTACAACAACCCCGCCCAGGACGGTTGGTATCTCAGGCGTTGTCGTCAAGTTCCACTAACGGCAACCCTGGGAAGCGTGCAGCTTCTGTGGGGTTGGTCCACAGGGACAAGGCCGTTAGGGTTGTCGGGTTTTCGAGTCATGTGGGGTCTCTCCGCATGCCGGACACTCATCCGACACATCCTCATTTAATCTACTCAGGTAGGAGTTTAACCTGCTGCAGTAGCCGGAGCGAAGTTGTGCTAGTGTTGTACGCGTCTCCCGAGGCAGATGAAGCTCCGTCTCGTCTGTGTCCGGGGGCGGTATGCCTAGAACGGCATTCACAGGTCTGGAGTCTACATAACTCGAGACTGACTCCCTGTGAATGCCTTTCAGGGCCTGTCGGTAAGCAGTCGGGTCCAGAGGTTGCTTGATGAACCTCTGGACTTCGTCCGTCAGTTCTTATAGATGCCTCCTGACGTGCCTAGGCGAGGACTCCTCTGCAAGCAGCTGTCTGTTTGGGTGGCCACTTCTGTGGCTCCCAATCAGGAACTGCTTGCAGAGCATTATATTGTGCTCCTTTAGCGGGAGCATTTGCGCCTCGCCGTGAAGATGGTGTTCGGGCGACACCAGGAGGCATCCTGTCGCTGTCCTGAGTGCGGTGTTCTGTGCCGTCTGAAGCTTCGTCCACTGCGTCCTACTAGTCCCCGGCGACCACACTGGCGCTGCGTAGTTCAAAACCGGCCGGCCTATTGCCTTGTATGTTGCTCGCAACGTTTCTTTGTCTTTGCCCCAAGTACTGCCGGCTAGCGACTTGAGGACCTTGTTGCGGCTCTGTACTTTATTGACAATAGTGGTTGCGTGCGCAGAGAAGGAGAGCAGGCTGTCGAATGTTACTCCGGGCATTCCCACGTACCGGAATGACCCGGGTTTTACCCGACCAAGGGCTGTTGTTTCGGCGATCTAACCCCGTTTAGGTCGGCGAAGTATCTCTGCCAAACTCTCCGAGTTTGCTGCAACAACAATTGCACGCAGTTTGCCAAACAAAATTGCTGCAAAACACACCTTAGCAAAAATTATCCAACACGAAAACATATGATCACAAAACATATGCCTGCAATTTTTGTAAACAAACAAAATTGCATTTTCCGAGTTTTGGTATTTATATGCTTTTTGGCTGCCTGCTATGTGACTTTATGATAGTGCCAACTAGTTTTTACTTCTAGAAATGTTCCTGGCGAACATTGAACGTTCACTTTCCTTTTTTCTTCCATGGAGGCAACATGAATTTCAATTTGTTTACAAATAAACCATAAATAAAGTCAGCTGGTGTGTCTTCTTTTTCCGATTTTTGCAAGTGATGGCTAATTTCCTGTTCGTTTACTTTAGGTTTGTGTAGTAACTTCTCCAGTAAAACATTGCAGCGAGAGCGTAAAAGAAAAATAGAGCGTAAAATTGAGAAGAAGAGAAAAGTAGCAGAAAAAGTTAATGAACACAAAACTAGCAAAAACTTGCAAGTGAACAGTCGTTGCACTCTTTGACGTTCTGCTGTAAACATTTTACTATTTATAAATCAGTCTTAAACTCTTTGCTTTACACACAAGCACTTACATAGTCAATATTTTGATTTAAACTTCTTTTACTTTTGTTTGTGCTAAACCAATTCAACAAATGGCGGCTTTTGACATTTATTCTTCTTCTTCTGCTAGCTAATTTCTGCTAGTAAAAATTTCACTAGCAAGAATTTGCAGCTCCCGTGTTGTTACGCTCTCGATTCAGTGCTCTCTTGCAAATTTTTTGGGTTATCATACACTGTTCCAGTAAAAATTTGCAGGTTCCAGTACAAATTAGTACTGACTATTGGTTACTATACAAACCTTTTTTTGCTTTTTCTTCTCTTTGGGAGAGAATTTTTGCTTACTCTCTTGATTTTGATTGTTGGCTGGTGTTGGCTAATTTTGTTATCGAACGCAACTATTATTCGGCCCCATATTAGCTTCGTTCCCCACGCTTTCCGGTATGCTCCGGTAATTAGAGAGTAAAAATAAGTTACTCTCTCACAAGTGTCAAAAATGTGCCAACACGTGCCAAAAGTGCCCAGAGGAGGAACGCAAAAAACCACATTTCGTGCCCGGAATCAACATATCAGCTCTAAACAATGATTTTACGTGTATTTATCTTATATGACTAATAAAATTACCAAACAACTACATTTTCTGAAAATTCTGTGATATTTTCTACATTTTGTTTTTATAAAATTTGCTTTCGGATTTAAACAACAACAGCAGTTATTTCAAATTGCCCTTTTGCACATTTGTGCCCGGAAAAAAAGTCCGGGCTGTTTCGTGCACAAAGAAGAAGATATTTACGATCCAAAAGTGGAACGTATTCGCTCTCTATTACCCATTTTTCTAGCGTGAGGAACGCTTTCTGGGCTGCTTTGGGCACCCGTGGGTACCCGCGGGCTCGTGTGGAACAAACCTATTATCCGTGAACAACGTTCTATTGAATAAGTGAACAGAAAATGTATTCCGAATGTTCGGAATTTGAATAAAGAAACTGTCGCCGCGTTTTAAAATTGTTACGGTGATTTTCCAGTTTATGGACACTTGGGGGACAATCTTTGGTTATCATCAAATTGTTTTTTCAAATACTAGCATTTTAAAACCCCACTATTATGAATCCGGAAACGGAAATTAGCTTTGTTTTTTAATATTAAATAAATCCGCATCCAGCCCTAGTGATCTCCGACCCATCAGCATACTACCAGCCTTGTTTAAAGTTTTCGAATCTTTGTTATCTGAACAAATCTTTTCCCACATCAGTAAATTCAACCTTATATCCTCATTTCAATCCGGATTCGGACTCCATCACAGCTGCTCTACTGCAATGGTAAAGATACTTGATGACATTAGAATACTGTTCGACAAGAACCACTTAACTCTACTATGCTTGCTGGACTTCTCTAAAGCCTTTGATTCAGTTAGCTATGAACTACTGTGCTTTAAATTAAAAAACTACTTTGGGTTTGGAGAGTCAGCAGTAAAACTGATGCGTAGCTATCTGAAAGAGAGGTCTCAGCGTGTCAAGGTTGGATCTCAAATATCTGAACAAAGGCCTTTGTTCACGGGTGTCCCACAAGGGTCAATCTTAGGTTAGTTTGCTCGTTAATGATATATATTTCGGACTTCTATGCACGCCAACATGCATGCCCATGCGGGCGATGTCCAGTTCTATATGTCAGTTAAATGGTCTTCGTCTTAATTGTGACAAGTGTTTTGTTTTACCTATTTGGAAGGAACGTCTTAACCCATCAACCATTCCGTCGTTACACATTGGTGGCAAACCAATTAAATTTGCGTCAAAAGTAACTAACCTTGGGTTTATTATCAAAACTGGCCTTACCCGCATTGACCATGTGAATTCAACTGTAGGCAAAGTCTATAACACTTTAAGGAATTTACGAATGTCTGCTCCATTCACACCGATGGTAGTCAGACGTAAACTCGCAATCCAACTTAGTCTACAGCATGTTAGATTCCCAATCAGCTCACAAAATAGATGTAGTATTTAACCAGATCACGCGCTATGTGTTTGGGCTAGCAAAATATGAGCATATTTCCGCTTGGAGAACGCGCCTACTTGGCTGCGAAATTTCTGAATTTCTTAAAGCTAGAAATTGTATATTCCTTTTTCGTCTCATGACAGATAAGGCACCCAAATATCTATGAAAAATTAATGTTCCCCAAATCCACTCGAGTAAAGGACTTGACTGTTCCTGCCTACAATTATCTCAGCTCTGCACGGCTATTCTTTGTCAATGCTATCCGCATCTGGAACTCTATTCCATCCCATATTCGCAGTAGTTTAAACAAAAGCAACTCTAAAAATGTTCTGCATGCGTATTTCCGTTAGCTTCACTTCAGTCCCTGAGATGTGCTCTCTATGTACTTGTTTAATTAAGTCTTATTTTAAGTATATGTCCTGGAATTGTAGAACTCACTTAAAAATACTACTTTCTCTGCTAATTATATTATGTTACTTTTATTTAGTCTTAAGTAATTTTTGCTGTTTTAGTTATACATATGTATGTACTGTTATGAATTTTTTGTTGTGCTATGAAAGATCTTTCTTTTGATCTTATTGTGCTAATGATTTTATTAATCAAAGGAAATTAAATGAAAATTCATTATCTGTAGAAAATACAGTCCGAACGTTATTTACGATGTTAACTCCTGGCGGCAATTTTAAATCGTAAAAACTAACAACCTTTTAAAAACTATATTGAGTACCAATAATTAAACTAATTATGATACAAGTTAAGTTTTCAGAATTCGGGTATGCCATATGCAATATGTATGTACTTAAGATACTGAATTATTTAAATTGATACAATTTATTACTAATAATATTAAATAAATAATTTGATATTTCCGTATTTATTGGATATTGGAAAATAAATATATGTACTTATGTAAGTCTTAATTTTGCGAGTGCATAACTTGGCGGGTGCATATTTGCTGGCTTCCCCGCGTCCCGCTGCACTGCACTCAGTAGTAATTTCAAAATCATCACAACATTTTTCCAATCTTTTTAGAAAGCACCGCATATTTAAAATTAAACTAAGGAAACTTATTTTAATCCTTTTTCTTTGCATAAAAATGTGGTCGCCTCAGCAGTACTGAATAGCAAAACAATAAGACTACTTTGCAAAAGTTCTTGTAACGGGTTTTGATTAAATACATTTTTGAATTCTTTCACTTTTATCCAGAACTCAATTGTAGTATAGATGTGTTCATTTGTATGTTAAAAGTTTTCGCCATTGATTTTCAATAATTAGCTCTGTGTGTTTCCGTACGAGTTTGTAATAGTTCATACCCCTAATTACAAGTTTTCATCTTTTGGCGTACGCAAAAACATTGGGTTGCAAGGGTTTGAAAACGTTTGTCCCCTAAACTCTTGCCCCAGGGCTACAAGTTTTATTTTTTATATAAGCTATCGCTACATAAATTTTTTCTCGCACATAAATTACAGATATCAACGAGCTAAACCTGCCTAAAACATGCGCCACTGAGTTTCCTGATCCAAATGACTTGCTCAACTTCAAGCTCACAATTTGCCCTGACGAAGGTTTCTATAAGAACGGTCGTTTTGTTTTTAGTTTTCGCGTGGGGCCCAACTACCCTCACGAACCACCAAAAGTTAAATGCGAAACGCAAGTCTACCATCCAAACATCGATCTGGAAGGAAATGTCTGTTTAAATATATTACGAGAAGATTGGAATCCAGTGCTGACCATCAGTTCGATTGTTTACGGATTACAATTTCTCTTCTTGGTA